AGCGGGCGGGGCTCCGGGCCTGCCGGGCCCCGGCGGTGCCCAGCCCTGGCCCGCTCCCGACGCAGGCAGTCGGCCGCTGCCGCGGACCGCCGGTGACAGCGGCGGCTCGGCCCCCGCCGGGGGAGAGATGACCTTTGGTCTCGCTGCAGCAGCTAGGAAGGAGGGAGAGGTGCTCTCTCTCGGGGGATTTTTGACATACCGTCGACAACTAGAAGTGTACCAAGATACGGCCGAGGGGCTTTGGAGCCCAGCAGCTTAAGCGACGACGGTTTGTAGGGAGAGGCCATCCTTATTGGTCCCACAGCAGACAGTCTTTCTCCTGATGAGCACAGCTCGTTACTGCCATAAGCATTTCAGCATAGGTAATATAGATGAACCGAGGACTGTTACTAATCAAAATTACCTTAATTACCCAGAAGTAAAATGAAATACTCTGTTTCCCCCCAAACTACAGGAAATATTTATGTTTCACTCAACAACAAAAGCAGAACAGTCCAAAATTTGAAGTTCCCATCGTGGTGGGGAGAGGCAATGATCCTGCAAAGCCCCGATGGTAAGGAGCATTCGTGACCGTGCGGCACAGTGAGGTATGGTCATGTTTTCTGTGCTTTTCGTGGCCAGGCTGCTCACCTGGATTCCAGAGGCTCACAGCAAGTCACACGGGAAGCAACCTCGTGAATCGTGCTCACTGGCCCTTTCCCAGGAGCATCTGCCGTATCTAAACCATTCCTGACAGATGCCTGTCTAACCTGTTTTAAAACCTCTAGTGACAGACACTTTTACACTGTACCCCAGGCAATCTCCTCCTGCACTTTGTTGTACATACAGCTGGAGACAAGAAGCTAGATCTCCACATCTGTAGTTTCAGCCCCATGCTATTTCTCCTGTTTCTAGAGGACATTGGTAAAAGATTTAACCCCTGAGGAATATATAAAAAAAAATGCTGCAAAGTTGGAAATGTCCATGCATTTCCTCAGTCTTCCCTAGATTAAAAAGCACTAATTCTTTTGATCTTTCCTCACAGGCCACTTCATGCATACATTTTTCCTGTTCTCCTTTGAACTCTCTCCAGCTGGTTTACATTTGCCTTGAAATCTAGTGTCCGCTACTAGGCCCCACATTCACATTGTCAGTGCTAAATCAGTTGAGGAGGTTACGTGATGTGCCAGAATTTAGTCCTGTTTCTACATGCCCCAAACATTTGCCTTTTTTTTTTTTTGCAAGTGTCACATTGTTGATGCCCCTGGAGCTCATGATCTGTTCCACCTCAGAAGCTTTTTCAAATCACTGCTGCCTAGCCAGTCTTTTCCCATTTCAGATTTGTACTGAAGATTAATGTCCTTTCTGAATACATTCTAAATGTCTCCTCTCCAAGGCAGCAGGAGATCCTCACCTCTAAGCATCAGCATCAACTCCTTGAGTAGTGCTGATGCAGTTGTTTGTAGGCCTACACTATCAGCTGTATCAGTGAACAGTCTAACAGAAAACAAAGTGTGGGGGAGGGAAGGACAAAGACCAGTTTTGTGTTCTTTTTTAATCCAGATCATTTTGTTGATCTGATTTACAGAGCAACCCTGTAAAACCAGTTTCTTGTGTTTGAGGTCACTGAACATCTCTTTAGTCAGGCTGGTCTCTTACTACCTTCCTGTCCATCCTACACACTGGGATAATTTCTAGCTGGGCTCATAATACTGTTCAAAGCAAAGTTTGGTTTTTTTGAGGCCACTGTCTTTGGTCTTCCACTCTCCTTTCTCCTTTGCAAAAGCTTTGAAAAAACATTGCAACAATAAGCAATAGATATTTTTTCCCCAATCTGAAGTTACTAAAAAATGTTATTTCTTCAGTCTTTGCATTAACATTTAAAATTGTTCAGTGACAGGAGACTGTAAGGAGCCTGCAAATAGCAGAGGGATTCTGACATAGCTTGCAGGGCTGGCTGGGATCCTCAGCCTGCTTTCTTCATCACTTTACTGCAGAAGCTTGCCTTTCTTGCCTTCTCTCCCTCTTCCATATTATCCTCTTTTCACATCTAATCCCCTGTCACTCTCAGAAAACAAGGCAATATATAAACCTATGACTCTGACTCAACCATTTGTAAAGAATAACAAACTTCCTCGGGCCATATGTAGTTGATAAGACCTGCATTGTGGTGTTAGGCAGTGCCTTGGCAAGCACAAGCTTGTATGCAGTGCTGAGAACCCTGCCTCCTCTCAGTGACTGAAACTTTACACCAAATTGGGCAGAGTTACCCTGTTTATCAATCCACAACTCTCAAGTTTTCATTTACTCTTTCAGTGTCAGCTGTAGTTCTTTAAAACACACCTGCTGGAGCAAGATAATTCATGTAAATTGCAGCTTACACAAGCAAGAAATCGGGCTTTCAGAGCTGCAGAGGGACACCTGAAAACCAGCTAGAGGGACATCAAAACACGAGGCAAACCTGGTTTTTTTGCTTACGTAAAATGTCATTATGGTAGCTCCAACTCATTTTTTCTCAAGAGACACCTGTGGTTGGTAAGGGAAGAGTTCTGTCTGCAGACATCTCCAGTTTCCCTCCAGCTCACTGGGTTAAAAAAGAACAAAAATCAAAGTCTCTAAGCGAGTTTATATTGCTGCCTGTGAAACTAAGTAGACAGGTAGGTTTCAAAATAGCAAACATCAAGGCACTGCCAAGGCTCTGGTTTTAAATGGAAGGCTTACAGTAGTCTTGACTACAGACAAAGGTTATCCTGTCCTCCCTAGTTAGTGCCACCAACGCAGGATTGCAAAAATTATTCTGTGGGAAAGCAGTAGGATGATTTAGTTTTTCCTTGTCCAATAGGAAGACAAGAAATGCCAGATCTGCTGCCAAGTGCGGTTCTGCAAGGGAGGTTCCCACCTGAATCAGCTTTAGAAGCTCCCCCCAAAAAGATATTACTGTTTCTTTTAAAATCTTGTTTTTCAGATTTGAAGGTGCTTATTTTTTTCCATGTGTATCTGCACACAGACACTTAAAGATTTCAGTACTTCATTTAAAGCCTCATTTAGCCAGACTGACTCAGTCTAAAATAACTTCAGTTAGAAGAGCTCCTTGCCAATTTCTTTGGGACAGAGAAGCACACAAGCATATGTGTGCGCGCACACACGTGCAAGCCATATCTTTTCAAATTCCTCAAATAAAAAGGGACATACCTCCCTTTGCTAGCTTCTCCTGTTCCACCTGGTGCCTCTGGCAGGATCTGAGGAATCTGTGTAAGCATTTATAAGAGCACTTGTATATCCCTTTATGTCGTACAGGAAGTGTTCTGATAAAATCCTACTTATCAATATTTACGTATTTCTTGGACACCAATCTTTGTGGTAAATTTTTTTATACTCATTTATAACTTTAGGGTACTTTTGTTTATTAGATGTTGTTCCATGACTACTTTTTAATTACAATAATAACAGCGTAGCAGAAAGAGTGCAATATGATGTCAATTGCACAATTCCGTATGAAGGCAATTTTTTAAAACACAACATAGCAATTATCTTGTACCCCAAAGGATGAAGTAAGATCACTGGCTTGCATCATTGCAAAAGTTACTACAGAACAGAAGAAAAATAGAGCATGAGAGTAGGCAGAGGTGTTGGGAAAGAATGTCAATTAACAATGCATGGATAATTCACTGCAGGGTATGAAGAATTATGTGGGTGATTATATAAGGGATTAAAAAAAAAAAAGGCAGGCATCTATGTACCTGCTACAGTTACTCAGTACTGTAAAACTGTGAGAACAAATGTTTCTGGAGCAGAGCCCACAGTTCTTAGTGCCATGCTGTATCTTATCCTTAATTTATGCAGAACATTCCTGTATAATCAAGAGGAAATAGGCTCCAAAAAGCCACTCCGTACAGAACTTAAGAATTTGTAATAAACCAAACCATTTTGACTGGGACTAAAAAGAGCAGCTTGAAATTAAAAACTGCAGAGAATCCAACACAGAGCTGGTTGCTACATGTGGCAGTTCCATAATGCTTTATTTATTTTATTTTTATTTTATTTTAAAATTATCACCTAACCTTTTTGAAAAAAATATTTAAATCATAGAATCACAGAATCATTTAGGTTGGAAAAGACCTTAAGATCATCAAGTCCAACTGTAACCTAACACTGCCAAGTCCACCACTAAACCATGTCCACATCTGCACATCTTTTAAATACCTCCAGGGATGGTGACTCAATTGCTTCCCTGGGCAGCCTGTTCCCATGCTTCATAACCCTTTCGGTGAAGAAACTTTTCCTAATATCCAATCTAAACTCCCCTGGCGCAACTTGAGGCCAGTCCTATTGCTTGTTACTTGAAGAAGTTGGAGAAGACACCAACACCCACCTCACTACAACCCCCTTTCAGGTAGTTGTAGAGAGCGATAAGGTCTCCCCTCAGCCTCCTCTTCTCCAGACTAAACAGCCCCAGCTCCCTCAGCTGCTCCTCATAAGACATGTGCTCCAGGCCCCTTACCAACTTGGTTGCTCTTCTCTGGACACGCTCCAGCACCTCAATGTCTTTCCTGCAGTGAGGAGCCCCAAACTGAACACAGTATTTGAGGTGCGGCCTCACCAGGGCCGAGTACAGGGGATGATCACTTCCCTAGTCCGGCTCGCCACACGATTTCTGATATAAGCCAGGATGCTATTGGCCTTCTTGGCCACCTGGGCACACTGCTGGCTCATATTCAGTCAGCTGTTGACCAACACCCCCAGGTTCTTTGCCAGGCAGCTTTCCTGACAGTCTTCCCCAAGCCTGTAGCGTCACATGGGGTTGTTGTGACCCAAGTGCAGGACCATCTTAAAATATGTGTATACAATATTGTATACATATATGTATTCAACCAAATATATATTCAGCCAAATAATAAATGAAAAAAAGTTATTTCCACCTATTTGGCTGATTTCTAAACTGGGGATTACAAAACAACAGATGGCAGCCTATGACACCTGGAGAGCCCTTATCTTTTAATAAGCTGTATACACATTCCCATTCATACACAATTCTAATTTTCTTCTTGAAAGAAGAAACGAAGGATCTGTTGACCCATGGAAGTACAGCAGAGGTCAAAGCTTTTGGTTGCCTCTGGAGTTCAGGCTCTTCGTTCAATATTTACTGCAGCTGTCACTTCTCACACTGAACTTGAAGCACAGGTATGAAAAGACTGAAAAATGTACAGTTCTTTCAGTAGATGGAGACCAAACAAGAAATTGTAGAGGAAAAGTACAGTTTTCTGATGACACTAAATAATAATCAATGTTGCATTAGAATGCTCTATAA